TGAGGATCTGTTTGCTTCTCTTCATGCTTTTGGGTCTCAGCTCAAATGTCAGTTTCTTACAGGGGCAGGCCCTGAACACCTTTCATTGTCTCCAGTTGTGATCGGTAGTCTAGTCTAAAGTAAAAATGGGGTGCTTGGGTGGCTCAGTTGGTTAAGTGTCCTACTTTGGCTCAGGTCATGATCTCGCAGTCCGTGAGTTCGAGCCCCACGTCGGGCTCCGTGCTGCCAGCTCAGAGCCTGGAGCCTGCTTCGGATTCGGTGTCTCCCTCTCTCTCTGCCCCTCCCCCACTTGTGTACACACTCACTCTCTCTCAAAAATAAGTAAATGTTTAAAATTTTTTAAAAGTAAAAATGGACTATTTTAAAATTGTACTTAAAATTTTTTAATTGAAAAAACTTTAGCTTTTTTTTTTTTTTTTTAAAGTTCAAGTCTGTTTTATTTTTAGGAGAGCATTTTTCATGACCAGGACTTACCTTATTTATTTACCTGATTAGTAAGACAGTGGTCTTATCGATTTGTGTATGAATGAATGAATTCTCCGTGCCTGACACATCGTATCTGCTTAATAAATGTCATTGGGCAAAATGAATGTGCCAGGGACCATACTGACTGTGGTGTTATAATAGGTTTTGGCCTTTGAAGAGTTAGGTTCCTACCATCCAGCAATGATGCTCCTTGGTATTTTACCCAAAGAAGTTGAAAACCTAGGTCCACAAACCAAGATGTCCTTCAGTGAATGGATAAACAAATCATGGTCCATCCGGACAGTGGAATGTTACCAGCACCAAAAAGGAATGAGCTATCCAGCCATGAAATATGTGTAGGAACCCTGAGTGCATATCACTAAGTGAAAGAAGCCAATCTGAAGAGGCTGCGTGCCATAGGATTCCAATGATAGGACATTCCGGAAAAGGCAAAATCATGGAGACAGTAAAAGATCAGTGGTTGCCAGGCATTGAGTGGAGGAGGGGTAAACAGGCAGAGCCCGGAGGATTTTTGGGGCGGTGAGAATACTCTATACGCCACCATATGGCAGATCTGTGTCATAAGTTTGTCCCGACCAATAGAGTGAACCTTAACGTCAATCATGGACTCCGGGTGATTGTGATGTGTCAGTGTAGGTTCATTGATGATGACAAATGTACCATCTGGTGGGGATGTTGATAACAGGGGAAGCTTGTTGGGGGGCAGGGGGAATATGGGAAATCTCTATACCCTCCCCTCAATTTTGCTGTGAACCTAAAACTGTTGGGGGGGAAGAAACGACAACAAAGTCTTAAAAAAAAAAAAAAAAAAAAGGAAGAGAATTGCATTGTAATGGTGGAGACAGACATACCTTCTCAAAGCAAAGAGTATATAAATACACTTGCCAGGCAGGCATAAGAATACAGCTCAGAATTCAGCTGACTGGTAGCTCCTTGTGTCCCAGAAGGCAAATGACACTCCCCGGAATTTTACGGGATGTCCTGCTGGGCCTTTTGAGTATGTTCGATGAATTAAACAAATACGTATTGAATCCCTACAATCTTCTGGGTACTGTGCCAGCTGCTACAGGCACATCCTTGTCCTCACGGGGTGAACAGTCTAGATGGGATGGCATATTTCAGTCTCCTCGTACTTACTATGAGTAACCAGCAGATCTACTCTGGGGCATTTGTTCATTGCAGTCATGGGTCAGTATGTTCCTTGCTTTGTGCTCATTTAAAAAGTACTGACCAGAGAAAGGCTCTTAAGACAGAGACCCTGACGGGTCAGCCTCTCTTGCTCCATTTCTAGAAAAACTCAGGTGGGGAAAGCTTCAGCATCTCAGCCTGGTAGCTCAGAACCATCTAGAAGTTTGTGGGGATTGTGGGGAGGGGTAAAAAAATCTATGTAAATGGCATAGTTTACTGGAGAGGAGTTCAAGCTTTTGATTAAAACAATTTTTTTGTGTGTTTGTTTATTTTTGAGAGAGAGAGAGACAGGGCGTGAGCAGGGGAGGAGCAGAGAGAGAGGGAGACACAGAATCTGAAGCAGGTTCCAGGCTCTGAGCTGTCAGCACAGAGCCCGACGTGGGGCTTGAACCCACAGACCGCGAGATCGTGACCTGAGCTGAAGTCAGACGCTTAACTGACTGAGCCACCCAGCGCCCCAAGAGGAGTTCAAGCTTTTGAACCCCCCTCCCCACTTCATTCCTCCTTTCCCATCCCTGTCCCCTTCCACCACCAACCAAACAAACAACAAAAACAAAACAAAACAAAACCCCAGCTATAATTATTTATCATCTTGGGTTATATGCTGAGAAATGGCTGGGTGTGGCTCCAGGGGACAGGCTGCTGGGTTGGGCCCTCATTCCCCTCTCCTGCCGCATCCCTCCCTCTCCTTCTTGCTGACATGTCTGAGCGGTAGCCACACTGTGCATTTAAAAGCTGTCCCAGCCCCACTTCTGGGGTCCCAGGGTCCCAGGAAAGAGGCTCAGCTTTTATTGAAGCAGTTTCTACAGGACTTTGGGAACCAAGTCCTTTCGGGAGGATGCTGTGTGCTCTCACTCGAGGGGAGAAGCCGCCGAGCCCCATTTCCTGCCTGACCTCTGCCAACACACACATGCACACGTGTGCACACACGCACGCACACACACACGCACGCGCTCCCTTCTCCACCCCGGGGAAAAATGTCTAATGAATGTCTCATGGCTGAAGAACTGATCCAGGTTCCTCAGAGGCAGTTGGTAATTATTAAGTCGAGAGGATCATGAAACACTGTTCTAAGTTTGAAAGGCTTATCAAGAGTAGATCAGAAGCAGGTAGTTAATAATTATAAACCCATTTCCATGGAAATGGCCTTATTAGCAAGGACGCCAGCTGCCTGAAAGTAAAACACTGCCTTTCCAGTTGGAGGGAAATGACCTAAAATAAAAACTTGTGCATAAAAGTGACTCTGAGTTGGTTGTTGATCCGTTTCTAGCTGGACTTGGGCAGAGTCCCATAGTTGGTCCAGCTCATGGGCTGGACAGTCAGAGAGGAGAAGGAAGGACCCACGGGGAATGGGGCTGCCCTCTTTGCCCAAAGACCGGCTGCCTCTGTACCCCGAGACCAGAGTGCAGATTTAGCAGGATTAAGCTGCCAATAGCAGAAAGTTATCACTTTCTTGGCGTTCACTTTGCTGGGATCCACTGAATGCTGAGAAACCAGGAGGTATTGGAAGCTGCCCTCTAGTCGTGGTTACAAGCACGGCACACGGTCCAGAGGGATCGAAGATCTGGTCTGAAAGGACCGAGCGTCTCTTACAGGAGGACACCCAGCAGATGGAGAAGTGAGGAAATCCTGTGACCAGAGAGGAGATTTTTCAGGCCGGAGTGTGGTGGGTGGGGAACGAGGGTCGTGGAGTGGGTCCCTAAGTTCCTGAGACCCTGAAATCCCTTTGGCAGCTCAGGGTCAGCCCTTAATCTCCCCCTTCTGTGCCTTCTCACTAAAGATGCCCAGTAAATCAGGGTCCCCTGGGGGGGGGGTGGTCCCCATGCGTGCCCACTGTCCACCTTCTCACAAGGCCTGGGATCTCTATGCAGCGAGCACTGTCCTCCCCGTGCAGAACAACACGACAAATAGATACTTGAGGACTCACAGCTCGCAAGTCCCACACCCAGCCTCAGCTCAGCAGGGAACACCCGGCTGTGTAACTTTAATAAAGTTATATTTCGGTTTAAGTAGCTGCTTCTGGCTAGTGGCCACTGGATGAGACAGAGCAACATCAGAGCTTCTTAAGCCCTTGGCTGCGTGGGAAAAGGTTAGATGCGACCAATTCTGTGTGGAGTCTGGTGTGGTTCTGATTTGTGTGGAATTCTGTACGGGGCAGGTCAGTTCTGTCAATACTATTGCTGTGTCTGAATGAGGTCTTGGGTGCCTAGATGCCTCCCTCTCGCCAGCCCCCTGTGGTTTTGACCCTCTTCGGGAGTTGGCCGGGGGAGGGGAGCTGTCCATGGTAGCAGACTTCTGGGGGCCAAGCAGCCTGCCCAGGTTCATTTCCAAACTCTTTCCTCACAGGTTGCGCGTTGGGGGTTCAAACTGAAGACCCTGTCCAGACCCTAAAAGGCAGGGCAGAGGCTTCCAGGCCCACTTGGGTCCAGGCAGGCCCACTGGCAGGAAAGGAATAAGTTGGTTCGTGTGACTCAGGTCTTGGGCGACTGTGAATCAGTTACTCGGCCGTCATATTCCTTGGCTGGGGATAAAGCTAGCACCAGGGTGGGAAGAGGCTACAGCAGGAATCACTCACAAGTCCTGTGCTGGCTGGCTTCTGTTTTAACTCTGTTCAGTGACTTATGTTGGTACAATAGTCAGCCTATAATTTACAACGTCCCTGTCAATGATAAGACGCTCCCTGTGTACAAAAATATTATTGAGAATGGCATTGGTCCTTTTCACCTATAAATGCCCCATCCACCTTCTTCCCCGCTTCCAAAAACACATGCAGCGCTGTCGCTCCATGAATTAAGGCAGGTGGATTCTTTACATCTCATCCCATTTCGGGCTCACGAAATGAACAGTCTACTGTACTATCTTATATGTTGCTCATAGTTATGTGGCGAACCAGGAAGCTAGGGAGTCCTTCCCACGCTTGGTCTCGTGATTCTCCCACCAGCCCATTCTTCCCAAATCCTAAAGCTCAGAGTTTGAACCACTGGTCCATAGACACAGCTAAGTAAAAGTAGAAGTAGCCAGAATCCCGGACTTGCCGCAGGACTGGAACAATGGTGACACCAGACAGGAGGCTCAGAGCGCCTTGCCGTGCGCGGTGCTGGATGGTGGCATGGGCATGCGTTGGGTGGGGGCGACACCAGACAGGAGGCTCAGGGCCCCTTGCTGCGTGCGGTGCTTGGAGGCTCTGTCAGCACCGCCGTGTGCTCTGTTGAAGTTGGCAGTCACCCTTTCGATTGGCAAGGAGGAGGGTGACAATTTATTACACTCTTGATGTTCTGCTGAGCATCAGGTTTTAAATGGCACTTTCGTATGTGTTTGTTTTCCAGGACAAATGGCTCCTTCTATGAGATCTTGCAAGTGGACTTTGGGGTCGACAACAGCAGCGGCCTGGCCGGGGCCCAGCCCATCACCTGGCAGGTGGAATACCCAGTGGAGGACTCCATGAGCGAACTGGCCGTCTCCGAGATCTTTGTCAGCCAGACATCCTTCGTGGGCATTGTCCCTCTTGCGATGGTGAGAAATTTGAGCTTCGGAAGGGGGTCACCAGGAAGTTTTCTTTGAGTGATTTAATACTCAAAGAAACATGAAGCGTTTTATAATCTGTTATTTTTTATGCTCTTGATGAAGTTCTTGAAGCAAAGGAAATGCACTTAGATTACGTTTTATTTACCTACTTCCCATAATGCCTTCCTGGAAACTATTTGGGGTCTACTGTAAATCTCTGTTCCTTGTGGATATTGGGGAACGTTTCCCGGGGAGCCCTTGTCCTTTATCGTCTCAGTCTGTGCCCACATCAGGACTAAGTGCTGTATCAGGGGTCTGCGTGGGGACAGTGCTTTGCATGTGAGCGAGTGGCCCGGGTCACTCGACTTCGCCAGGAAGTTCCCAGGGAGCGTGGGGGCTGGACAACTGAAAAGCGCAGCTGGACTGAAGGAGCCTTGTTAGGATCTGAACAACTGAGCCTGCATAAGGTCCTGAAGTCCACAGAACCTGTTGTGTTTCTGTGCCTGGCCTGGAGTGACCAGATTTTTCCTCTGACTTTGGTTGAAGCTCCCTTCGCGACCAGGCTCGGGGACCACACTAGAGCACAGGGTCACACATGAGGTTCCAGAACGTAAAAAGGACAGCGCCGGTGGGCCACAGGGATGATCAATCCCTGGGGAACGCTGCATTCCTAATACCCTTTTCCACACCGGACATGTTCAGTGGAACATGAAATATTCTGCATTGCTTTGACCTTCCTGTCTGGGACCAAAGTGTGGGGGTCAACACCCAGATATTCTAGGGCAATCTGTGGGTGCTTCTGTCATTCATACTCAAGTTGGATACCAGGGTTAAGATCCTTGTAAACGAAACCCTACATCCTCCAATTAATTCTGCAATTCTGTATCTGTGTTCTTATTCTCGTCTGTGGCTGAAACACTTTCCCAAAGTCTCCCCAAGCCTGGCTCCTTCTCTTCAACTTGACTGTTCAGAGATGCACCCTTCCCCAACCACGTTGGCCAGGTGAGATCCGTGGAGGTAGGGTTCTGGTCAGTCGTGTCCACGTCTGTGACCCCAGCACCTAGAACAATGCCTGAGACAGTTCATATATGCTGGAAACGAATGCTGGTGAAAGAACCCCATGCTTTAATCCAGGCTACTGGGCTCATCTAATTCTTGAAAGTTAGCCTGATGGAGTTTACCCCCATGAGCAACAATCTGCATGGTGGTTTTGGGGCAGAGCCACAACCAGCGGGAAATGGCCCTGGAAAGGGGCAGAGATCGATGGATGTAGATTTTAAGGCAGAAGGAGGCCGTTCTGATTCTCCAGATCAACCTAGATCTGGCTGAGGTTGGGTTACATCTTTACTCTGAGTCCTTACAATTTTGCTCTATGCTTAATGTGTAGCAGTTGATTCACTGGGGATCCCGCAGCCTCCCATTGCTTCTGAGGACGGAATTTCAAGGGAGGGCGTCATGCTCTCCTCTGATGGGCAGGTGCCGGTTCGGAGAGGAGCCAGAAAGGAGGCTGGAACCAGGCAGGGAGATAGACTCCTGGTTGGCCGAGTGCAGCCCACAGACCAAATCCAGTCTGCTGCTTGTGTCTGTGGAAAAAGTTGTGTCAGAACACAGCCAAGTGATGGATGGTGATGCGTCGTTTACGACTGCGGTAGGGCTGTGTTGGCGCACTTTCAACGACGCATCCGTGGCCAGAACTTGAGTTTAGCATCTTGCCGGAAGTACCCTTCTGAGCAGAGTGCCTGGCAGCGGGGACAATTACTCTGTCGTTCTGGGCTTCGGGAGATATTAGTCTCGTCTCTTGGGATAACCTTTCCTGATGGACCTTTTGCTACAGACGCTCAAATGCTCTTTGGCTGTGGTGACAGCCTCTCTCATGATGCCTGAAGACCTCGCTGATGGCTCTTGGCTGAGTGGGGTGTCCCTCATGGGGACAGGACAGAGTCAGGGGGAGGGGTAGAGAAGGAGATGGTGAAACCCACACAGGAAGGAAGAACCTGGCAGATCAGGAAAAGCAGGTGGGCTTTGACTGTCTCTGCAGGGGCCAGCCTCCTTGACCCTGTGTCTTCCTGACAGGTGCCTGGGCTCAGCACCGGGGGTTGGGGGTGGTGGAGGCATGTCTCTGACTATGAGATGCTGCATGTTGCTCCCCATCTGGTCAATCTTTACTTAGGGAAGGTTTCTTGGTTTTGGGCTTTAATTCCTTTTGTCAGGAAAGCGTTGGATCCTTGAGCGGTGTTTCTATCACACAAATCACTGTGACGAGCGGCTTCAAATGACCCCAGGGGACCAGAGCTATTTAGGAAACAGTGTGGGACGGTGGGACCGAGCTTGGTAGTTCATCTTGAAATTGATGAACCTGACCATGGAGTTCGATGAGTTTCCTATTCTTCCCTTTATTTCTTCCTTTTCGACTTTTCTTTCTTCTTCCTCGTTCTTCCTTCCCTTTCCGACTTCTCTTCCATGTCCTTCCTCTTCCTTCTCAGTGGCAGCTAACTCGGGACAACTTCTGCTGCAGGATATAAAGGTGCTGTGAGACTTGTCCACAGGCATGAACAAAAGGGCCTTGTTATTGTATGGGGTTGTACCCAGAAGCAGAAGCCACTTTCCTAGTTCAAACAGAGTCATTTCAGTGCAAGCCCTCGGGTACGCGGGAATTAGGACAGATGAGAAGCCAGACACAGAACAGAAGAGAGTCGGGAAGCCTGGCAGGAACGAGGGCCCCCCCACCCCAGGCTGGAGGCAGGGCACCGGGGCTGGGTCACCTAAGGAACCGGAGCCCGTCCAGGGAACGGACGCCGGCTCTGGTTTTATCGCACGATGTGACTCTGACGTCCGAATGTGTCCTGTTCACCAGAAGCCTGTGCGTTCAGAACCCAGCCATGCCGAGTCCCAGGCCCGGCTGGAATGCTCCACTGGGCTGGTTTCTCGTCTCTTTTCACCTTAAAGGTCACCTTGGAGAGGCCTCTCCCGGCCGCTCAGACCAACTTAGTTCCGTCCTTATATTCTTGCTGACTTGTCTCCAGTTCATGCTTATTTATATGTTTGTGCACATCTGTCTTGGCCTGGCTCCGATCAGGAGAAAGAATTTGAACAGGGAAAGTTTGATTTAAAGAGTTATTAATTCTGACAAGGACTGGAAAATGAGGGGTTGCTTAGTGAGAAGTGAAGAGAACGCTCAAGAATGTCTGGATGGAAGACAGGAGTACCCCCCGCCCAAGGGCTGAGAGCGCGTGCCCAAGGAAGAGGTTCCCCCCGCCCTGAGATCCAGACCTTATCGGGGAGGGGGTACAGTCACGGCTCACTGAATGTGGAGAAGTTGCTGAGGTGGCCGACCGGTGCAACTCGCTGGGATTTTGAGGACCGCACTTTACAGGGACGTGTCTCCTCAGAGGCACTTGCTGTCGGGGCACTCAAGGTGGATGCTGGGTAGAGCTGCGGGCTGCCGGCTGCCGCGGGAGCTGCCCACGAAGGCAGCCACCTGTGCCGGAGAAGTCACGGCGTGGGCACGGCAGCGGCCCGCAGAGAGAGCGCCACAATCAGAAAGCAAACCCTTTCCCTCTGCAGCGTCTCTCCGGCACCCTTACGGGCAAAGCTCCACACCTTGCCTTTCGGCGAAGGAAAAATGTTAAGGACTCAGATCCATTTTCACAGAGCAGGTGATGAGGGCACATTGGAGCTGGGCAGCAGTAGATTGCTAAGCAGATACTGGTCACGAGCTGCTTGATGGGAGGGACCGTGTTTGCTCCGACCAGCAGGCGTTTTCTCAGCACGGTGCATGGTGCCCCATGTACGGCATTTGCTCAACAAGGGAATGAATGGTTCTATTTACCATCGGAACCCAAGTCCACTGGCTGGAGCTCTCATTTGCCGTGTTAATTCCCTTTTGCCGCTGTAACAAATCATTCCAGACTTAATGGCTTAAAGCAACACAAGGTCACTGTCTTATAGTCTGCAGGCCAGAGTCTGACATGGGTCTCCCTGGGCTACAATCAACGTATCAGCAAGACTGCGTCCTTCTCGAGGCTGGGAGGGAGGCGGATCCATTCGCTGCCCTTTCCAGCTCCCCGAGGCCGCCCGCATCCCTTGGCTCCTGGCTCCGTACCACTCAGACCTCTGCTTCTGTCATTGTGTCTCCTTTCTGAGCCTCTTGCCTCCCTCTGTCCCTTATAAGGACCCTTGTGATGACATTGGGTTCTCTTGGATATGAGGCAGGAAAATCTCATCTCGAGAACCTTCGCTTTCCCTCTTGCCGTGCAGAGTAACATCCCCATCGGTTCTGGGGGTTATGACGTGGGCATCCTTGGGGGGTGTTATTTTCCTCCTACTCTCCCTGGTACGGGACCCCAGTCTCCCCTTTCTGGTCCTCCTCAGGCTGTGTACCCCGAGCTCTCCATCCTTCTTCTCACGATCCGTTCTTCTGTTGCCTCCCCGGGCTGCTTTCCGAGCAGCTTTCTGGACCTCAGTGTCAACCCCAGCCAACCCACCACCTCTGACAGCTCCCCGCTCCTGGGGGCACTGCTTTTCTGCCATTAGGAAAGCGCTCTGCTCTTTCGGAGGATCCCACAGGAGAGCCACCACAGGCCTGGCGATCTTCGTTTACACGCAAAGCCTTTCCTTCTGGAGGATATGGACCCCCCCCAGGGGCTGGGGCTGTTGGCTTCCTCTAACCCCTGGGGCTGGAAGAGACCTGAGGGCAGAGCCCAGCTGGCCTCTCCTTCTCGCTGTGGCCTCCCGGGGTCAGTTAACTTGTCTTTGCTTTCATTTCTCACCTGTGAATTTCCAAGTTAGAATCCCAGTCCTGTGTATCGCACAGCGGTGTTACGCAGACTGAGACCCAACAAATACGAACATGCTTACGACATCCAGGCAAATGGAAAGGTCACGTATGCAGTTGGAAAGCAACCCAGGAGGACTCAAGCACCTTCAGCTCTTGTGTAGAGTTAGTGACTGTCTCTACCTTTCCGGCTTTGTTACCCTGTTGCTTTACTGGGCTGATGTACATCCTGGGA